CCCCAAAAAATTTTTTAAAAGGGAAGTTTGTCGGGGGTCCGCCCCCTTTTTTGGCCCCTCATAAATTTTAAAAAGGATTTTTTAAAACTTGGCTCAAATTTTTCATCAAAAGGGGATGTGCAGAACCCCGGCCCATGGGCTCAAAAGGTCAAAATTGAAGGTAAAATTTAAAACAATAAATTTAGACTAGCGTGTCCGCTCTTTAACCCTTTTCATAATTAAGGTTTTTCAAACTTGGCTAAAATGTTAACTCAACAAGGATGTGCAAAACCCCCATGGTTTGCAGCTAAAGGTAAAGGGTGGAAGGGGTAAAATATCAAAAAATTTAAATATTGACAGTATTGTGCCCGCTCTGTGCCCTAACAAATTAAAGGTTTTTCTTAAAACTTGGCTCAAATTTCACCTCAACAAGGGGATGTGCAAAACCCATGTTTGCCCAGTGTCAGCTCAAGGTCAAGGTCAAAATTGAAGGTCAAATATCAAACAATCAAATATTAGACAGTATTTTTGGCCCGCTCTTATGCCCTAAAAAAATTAAAGATTTTCTTCAAACTTGGCTCAAATGTTCACCTCAAAAAGGAAGTGCAAACCCATGTTCCCCATGTGTCAGTAAAGGTAAAAAGTCAAAATTGGGAATGTAAAATATCAAACAATAAAATATTAGACAGTAGCGGGGTTTCGTATGCCCTACACTAATTAAAAAATTTTTTTAAAACTTGGCTCAAATGTTCACCTCAAAAAGGGGAATGTGCAGAACCCATGTTCCCCATGTGTCAGCTCAAGGTCAAGTTTAAAGTCAAATATCAAAAAATCAAATATTAGACAGTATGTTGTGCCGCCTGTTGTCCTACACAATTAAAGATTTTTTTCAAACTTGGCTCAAATGTTCACCTCAAAAAGGTGATGGCAAAACCCTTTTGTTGCCATGTGTAGCTCAAGGTCAAGGTCACAATTGTGAAAAAACGACAACAACAACAGTGCTGTTTCTATTTAAGAATTGCATTTTATCTAAGAATTCCCATGTTTTTTTTCTATAGAATTTGCGTTTTTCTATCTATAGAATTCGTGTCCTATTTTAAAATTGCGTGTTTCTATTATAAAATTGGTTTTTCTATTTAAATTAGAGAAAAATAATGTGAAAAGACAGACCGTTAATTTTTTATAAAAAGGAAACTTTTTAGATTTTTCAAACAATTTTTTTAGCTTTTTGAGAAAATAAAAATCGAGCGTTGCCCCCCCCCGGGGGTGGCTCTTGTTAACCTAATCGACAAGCATTTAAAACCACAATGTCATTTTTATACAAAACATTTTTTTAAAAGAGCTAAACATAATGGCACAGTTCTAGAAGTCATGCCATCTTTATCATTACAATAGAATGTAGTGAGGTAAGAATATTGCACTTTTACTGTATTGTAATATTCATAATTCAAATAATGTTAATTTAAAATAAAACTACAATAGCAGGGTGGTTTTTTTTGGGGTTTCTCGGGGTTTTAAAAACTTTTTTTATGTCCGTTTTTTTTTGGTTTTTAAAAAAGAGAAAATTCCAAATTTTTATTATCCTATAATACTGAGTTTCCGGATTTGTGAGAATTCTGCTTTTGGTAGAAATCTGGTTTGCGCATTTCTACAGTTTAAACAACTTTGGATTTTTTCTCGCCTTAAACTGGCTTACTTTACCTTGATTTATTTTGGGGAAAACCTCTGAATTAATCTTAAATCATGTCAAATCATGTTAAGTCAGGTCAAGTCAGTTTTTCTGTGCTTAACAGTACTGGTGTAAATTTATCAGTACTGTTGACATATGAGTAAAAACGGTCCTGATCACTAAAGGAATCAAACTCCTTGAAGGCAGATAATTACTGGTACACTATGACTCTATCTTATACGTGTTTGAAATCTTTCATGTAAAGATGGGTGCAGATGAAGAAAACCATATCAGAGTTGGTCGTCTTAATTTAGTAGATTTAGCGGGAAGTGAAAGACAGGAAAAAACAAAATCTGAAGTAAGTATAGAGTCTGTATTTAACATTCATTGTAATTTTTCCTGAGTGAATTGAAATTCTTTTTCTTTAGATTACAGATGTTACTTTATTAGGGGGGAAACAAGGGTTTAAGGGTTATATAACTCAAGAACTAAAATTTTATAAAATCAGGCGTTTTTGGATTAAACCCAAATAAACATTTAAAAGAAATTTTTTTCACTAAAAAGGTTTTTTTTTATAAATATTCATTTATAGAGTGTATACTCTACAATAATCACATTTTACATGTTGCCATGTACATGTTTATTTTTATTAGGGTCAGAGGTTAAAAGAAGCTACAAAAATCAACTTGTCATTGTCAGCCTTGGGTAACGTGATCTCAGCACTTGTTGATGGCAAGAGTACACATATATCTTACAGAGATTCTAAACTCACGAGGTTATTACAAGGTATTGATTGTTTCTATGTTTCCTTCCAATGTTGCTCATTGTCTTTTATGCAAATTGTACACAAAAGATGCTTTGGGTATTTTCTTTCTGCATAGAGAAGTATTTGATTACTGATTAGAATTTGAATTTGAATAAAAGTGTCTTTCTTAATATTCATGCTATCTGTAGCAGAGTGGTTAAGGATTTTGACTTCAAACCACTTGCCCCTCACCAAGGTTTGAATTGAATTCTACCAGGGACTTTGGATTCTTTCATGTGAGAAAGCTATCCAGCTAGCTTACGGAACATTGGTGGTTCTACTCAGGTGCTGGTTCATTCCTGAAATAATGCACGGAAGAGCACTTAAGGTCTTCCTCCACCAGTAAAGCTTGAACATCGCCATATGATGTACAATGTGTTGATGAGATAACCCGTATCATCAACAACCAACATTTCTGAATTTAGTGGTCTCAAGGTTAAATGATAAGAACATCAATAACGACTTCTTTTTTTGAACAGATTCTCTGGGTGGAAATGCCAAGACTGTGATGGTTGCCAATATTGGACCTGCAGATTATAACTTTGATGAAACCATGAGTACCCTCAGGTAATAACTTTTTTTTACAAAAATGTCTTCAGAAATTTATAGTCATTAAATTAGGTCCCCACAAAAAGTAAATCACCTATGAAGTATGTAGCTGATACAGTCAGGTGCAGGCCCATTTATATTGGTCAGTTGGTCAGTACATTCATTGCAATCTTTACTTAGCAATACCCCTTGAGAGACAAACATTTTGGTTGTTATCTAGAGATGTTTCTTTCAGAGAGGTTAATTTTATTGTGAAGTCTCACCTCAGGAAAAATTGATCATTTTGTTGTCAAAAAGGTTATTGTTTTCTACAGTAGGCCTCTCTACAGAGGTTACTCTGTAGTATTCTTTACATCCACATTGCAAATATATTCTCCTTTCGTTGAGTCGTAAGATTTGTGTGTAATTGAGTGAAAAAAGTTCCTTATGCCGAGTAAGATTTGTGTGTCATTGAGTGAAAAAAGTTCCTTATGCCGAATATTCCTTTGTTCTTTTTCCTATCAATATTGAAATGAAATTTTAACAAATGAAGAATGCTATAGCTTTCACTTCTCTCTGAGATCCAGAAACTATTCTTGAACATTTCGAAAATTAAATAACAGGAAAAGTCCATTATGCAGAGTATGGTTATCAGAGGTGGAGGTACTCGGGCACATGATAATTTAATAATGAACTTCTTTGTTATAGATATGCAAATAGAGCCAAGAATATCAAGAATAAACCTAAGATTAATGAAGATCCTAAAGATGCATTATTGAGAGAATTCCAAGAAGAAATAGCCAGGTAAGTATTTCTATAAAATTAAATGGCAGTGGCAGTGTGGCCAAGTGTTTAACGGGTCGGACTAGCAACCTAAGGATTGCTGACTGCTTGGGTTTAAACCCGATCAGGGGCAGGACATTGTTACTTGAGCTAGAAACTTTACATTCATTGCTTAGTACTGGTTGGTGACAAGAATGGAGTTCTTCAATAAGCTTATAGCTTCCAATGAACTAAAATAAATTTGTATAAACTTAACTAAATGCAAACAGTGTCAATAACTTTCATCTAAGTAGAAATTTTAAATTGAGAAAAAAAATATATTTTAGGGATCAGGAATGGCTCTTTTAACGGAAGGTTACTGTATTAAAAAAAAGTAGCTAAAAAGAATATATGAATTTATTACGTATTGATAAGTCGTATGTTTTGAATAGTATTGCTAGTTAAGTAAAATTATTTATTTTTAAGACTGAAAGCAAACCTAGCCGGGAAGGGAGGTCCAAAGAAAAAGAAGAGACGGAAGCATGCTAGAAGGAACGAGAATGGTAAGATATTAATCTCTACCCTCCTTGAGTATTGTTGTGGGTTTGAATCCTGATGGGGACTTTGGATTATCCCTGGGGCTTGAATCCTGACAGGGACTTTGGATAATCTCTGTGGGTTCGAATCCTGACAGGGACTTTGGATTATAGCTGTGGGTTCGAATCCTGACAGGGACTTTGGATTATCTCTGTGGGTTCGAATCCTGACAGGGACTTTGGATTATAGCTGTGGGTTCGAATCCTGACAGGGACTTTGGATAATCTCTGTGGGTTCGAATCCTGACAGGGACTTTGGATTTATAGCTGTGGGTTTGAATCCTGACAGGGACTTTGGATAATCTCTGTGGGTTTGAATCCTGACAGGGACTTTGGATAATCTCTGTGGTTCGAATCCTGACAGGGACTTTGGATTACAGTTGTGGGTTTGAATCCTGACAGGGACTTTGGATTATAGCTGTAGGTTCGAATCCTGACAGGGACTTTGGATTTATAGCTGTGGTGTTACGAGCCAGGCGTAACGAGAAAGAAAAGCCAGCAACAAACTTGTAACAATAACAAATTTATTACAGAAAAATTATTAAAGAAAAATCAAAATAACAAATAATGTGTACAAATACCTGAAGTCCAAATAAAAATGTAAAATTAAAATGTCTTATCTGATCCTGGAATGATCCTTTTTGAATAACACAGTTAAATCCAAGTTAAATCCAAGAACACTTTAGAATAAATTCCCACAATGAAATCCACAAGAATAATTTAATCTATTTTGAAATAATCCAAGCTCCAATAAATCACTTAATATCCAAGTTGAATAATACTCCAAATATATTGATGACTTAAAACGTAACTGAAGACTTAAAAGATCACTGATGACTTAAAAGGTAACTGATGACTTAAAGATAAGATTAATGAAAAATGTCTCCTTATATATTAACTAAGAAGTTTCCAGAAAGGTCTATTATGTTCTCAAGTAATCATAATCTAGCAACTTCAACAATAAAGATCATTCCAGAAGTTTCTATCTAAATATAATGCATGAGTTTTCTACAACAGTTAAGAACCTTCTAGTACATACATGTAGTTTATGTTCTAAAAATAGAACAATGATAATATTGGAAATACCAACTGGTCAGATATAAATTATATACATGTAATATGTTGCATACATAACAGTGGGTTCGAATCCTGACGGGGACTTTGGATTATAGTTGTGGGTTCGAATCCTGACAGGGACTTTGGATTATAGTTGTGGGTTTGAATCCTGACAGGGACTTTGGATTATAGTTGTGGGTTCGAATCCTGACAGGGACTTTGGATTATAGCTGTGGGGTCGAATCCTGATGGGGACTTTGGATTATCCCTGGGGCTTGAATCCTGACAGGGACTTTGGATAATCTCTGTGGTTCGAATCCTGACAGGGACTTTGGATTATAGCTGTGGGTTCGAATTCTGACAGGGACTTTGGATAATCTCTGTGGGTTCGAATCCTGACAGGGACTTTGGATTATAGCTGTGGGTTTGAATCCTGACAGGGACTTTGGATAATCTCTGTGGGTTCGAATCCTGACAGGGACTTTGGATAATCTCTGTGGGTTCGAATCCTGACAGGACTTTGGATTATAGTTGTGGGTTTAATCCTGACAGGGACTTTGGATTATAGCTGTGGGTTCGAATCCTGACAGGGACTTTTGGATTTATAGCTGTGGGTTCGAATCCTGACGGGGACTTTGGATTATAGTTGTGGGTTCGAATCCTGACAGGGACTTTGGATTATAGCTGTGGGTTCGAATCCTGACAGGGACTTTGGATTATCTCTGTGGGTTCGAATCCTGACAGGAACTTTGGATTATCTCTGTGGGTTCGAATCCTGACAGGAACTTTGGAATATCTCTGTGGGTATGAATCCTGACAGGGACTTTGGATTATCTCTGTGGGTTTGAATCCTGACAGGGACTTTGGATTATCTCTGTGGGTTCGAATCCTGACAGGGACTTTGGATAATGTCTGTGGGTTCGAATCCTGACAGGGACTTTGGATTTATAGCTGTGGGTTTGAATCCTGACAGGGACTTTGGATAATCTCTGTGGGTTCAAATCCTGACAGGGACTTTGGATAATCTCTGTGGGTTCAAATCCTGACAGGACTTTGGATTATAGTTGTGGGTTTGAATCCTGACAGGGACTTTGGATTATAGCTGTGGGTTCGAATCCTGACAGGGACTTTGGATTTATAGCTGTGGGTTCGAATCCTGACGGGGACTTTGGATTATAGTTGTGGGTTCGAATCCTGACAGGGACTTTGGATTATAGTTGTGGGTTCGAATCCTGACAGGGACTTTGGATTATAGCTGTGGGGTCGAATCCTGACAGGGACTTTGGATTATAGCTGTGGGTTCGAATCCTGATGGGGACTTTGGATTATAGTTGTGGGTTCGAATCCTGACAGGGACTTTGGATAATCTCTGTGGGTTTTGAATCCTGACAGGGACTTTGGATTATAGCTGTGGGTTCGAAATCCTGACAGGGACTTTGGATTATCTCTGTGGGTTTGAGTCCTGACAGGGACTTTGGATTATAGCTGTGGGATTGAGTCCTGACAGGGACTTTGGATTATAGCTGTGGGTTTGAGTCCTGACAGGGACTTTGGATTATGGCTGTGGGTTCGAATCCTGACAAGAATTTGGATTTTCTCTGTGGGTTTGAGTCCTGACAGGGACTTTGGATATCTCTGTGGGTTTGAGTCCTGACAGGGACTTTGGATTATAGCTGTGGGTTTGAGTCCTGACAGGGACTTTGGATTATCTCTGTTGGTTCGAATCCTGACAGGGACTTTGGATTATCTCTGTTGGTTCGAATCCTGACAGGGACTTTAGATAATCTCTGTGGGTTCGAATCCTGACAGGGACTTTGGATTATAGCTGTGGGTTCAAATCCTGACAGGGACTTTGGATTATCTCTGTGGGTTTGAGTCCTGACAGGGACTTTGGATTATAGCTGTGGGTTCAAATCCTGACAGGGACTTTGGATTATCTCTGTGGGTTTGAGTCCTGACAGGGACTTTGGATTATAGGCTAGCTGTGGGTTTGAGTCCTGACAGGGACTTTGGATTATCTCTGTGGGTTGAATTCTGACAGGGACTTAGGATTCTATCATGTGAGGAAGCTATCCAGGTAGAACATTGGTGGTTCTACTCAGGTCCCTGTTTGTGCCTGAAATAAAGATTTGAAATGCTTTTTACGATTTCCTCTACTAGTAAATACTGGAATGTCGGCATATGACCTATACTGTTGTTAGTGTGACATAAAAACAAATCAAACAAACAAGCAAAACCTCCTGAAGTCAGAAGTGATAAGCCTGCTAAAGGAAATGTACAGCAATTTGCTCTTTCCAGTACCATTGATGAACAGGCTCAATCAAAACGAGCCTGCAATATTTTTCAATTTTGTCATTTTGGGTGTTCTTTAGGGATTCGGTTTTTCTCTGCTTTTTTGGTCACATGTATTAAACCTGTGAATCAATGCAGTCTGATCAGGCTCTATACAGTTGCATAACTATTAAGTTGTATTTTGTCCTAATATCCCTAAAATTGATAATGGAAAGTTCAAAAAATGAAAACTGGACAAGTCCATGTAAGAAATTCAGGTTAAAGAAGATTCCTTCAACTGTTAAAAGAATGATATTTGGAAAACTGTGTCTATTTTAGATAATCACTGATTTGATTAACCAATTTTGTTTTGGTATCAAAAGGGGAGATAATCAATGATTTAATTTATAAATTTTGTTTTGGTTTAAACTGGGGAGATAATCCGTGATTTATAGATTTGTTTTAGTATTAACAGGGTAGATAATCACTGATTTAATTAATCGATTTTTGGGGGTATTAACAGGGGAGATAATCAATGATTAGTAAATTTTGGTTTTGGTTTAAACAGGGGAGATAATAAATGATTTATGAATTTTGTTTTTGGTTTAAACAGGGGAGATAATCAGTGATTCTGAAGGTGATGATGATGAAGATGAAGAAGAGGAAAGTAATGAAGCAGACGCTGAGGCATACATGCAGGAACAACAAGCCAAACTAGAACAAGAGAAAGAGGCTATCTTAAATAACAAAAGCATGATTCAAACAGTAAGTGAATTTATCTACATGTTCTCTAGAATTATTGTGGTTTTCTACATGTCTTGTAGAATGATGGTTGTCTTGCACATGTATCCACTGATGAGCCTGAAAATAATGCATGGTAGGATTCCTCTTACTAGTAAAAGCTGAGAAGTTTATTTATGATCTTAAAGGCCCATAATGCCTCAGAAATGCTTCTAAAAAATCTTTAATTTTTGGTATCTTGTTAATTAAAGACACACAGCTGATAAAGAAGTTTATGTAAAAGTTTTTGTTTTACTGTGTATTTATTAAGGATTTTATTCTGTTCACAGGAAAAAGACAGAATCTTGAATGAGATACAAGAGAAAGAGGGAAGGATGAAGAAAGAGAAAGAGAATAGGGACCAGTTAGAGTCTTAGATTAAGGTGAGTCTATAAATATAAATGATCATATCATGTAGTTTTTGTCAGACATTTTAGCATCTCAAAAAAATAGATTGTAAAGGTTATGCTTAAACCTTGTTAAATTTAATATTTTACTACGAAAAAATATTCAATGATCCGCCTGACCAATGGATATTCCTATAAATATCATTGAGTTTAAACATATTTATTTAAGCTTGATTATGAAAAAAGTTCTTGCAACTTATATTAATCACTTTCAAGTCTGCTTCCTGGAATCAACCAGTACTGGTGTCATATGAAGAAACATGGTCTTGACCCGATTAGGGTTAGAACCCTTGATCCCTGAGTGTTGAGAGGCAGACACCTTAACCACTAGGCCAGCGCTCCCCTTATATCATTCAGAATGTATCATTAATGTTCTGTTCTCAAGAAAAAAGTAGGGCAGTCTTATGATATGTGTTGTTTTATAATGTATCATCAACAGTTTTCAATATCAATTACTGGTCAACCACCATTAAAATAGTCAATCTTATGAAATATATTACTAATTTAGCTCAATTTGAAAACAACATGAGAATACTGCAACTTTAACCAAGATGAGAATACTGCAACTTTAACTAACATTTTATATTGACAGGCTATGGAGAGTAAGTTATTGATGGGTAACATAGTGGATCATACAAACAAACAACAGAAGGCATTAGAACAGAAAAGAAAGGAGATTGCCCAACAAATGGTTCGTATTTTATTATTGAATATGAAATACTCTTTATGATCGATCATTAAATGTATATAAAGCTATTTATCACTTTTTGTTTGAAATTATTTTTTGTCCAATAGAATTGCAGAATTCCAAATGAATTGTAACAAATTTACTTTGGTAAATTGGCAACCCGTCTAGTAAATCAACTGTCACAAAAATAATTTAAAACACTAAGCTGGTTAAAATTTATAAGTACGTATTTACCAAATTGAATTGGTCGCGCGGCTGACCAATTTAATTTTGTAAATGCGTACTTAGAGACTTTAACCTATACATAAGCCGAGTGTAAAAAAAAAAATTGGGAGAAAAAATGTGCTAATGTTAGTGTTACACTATAGACGCATCAATGAAAGTTGACTCTTTTAGCTGAAAACCGTTCTTATTTGAGATATTTGATAAATAGAATATTATATTTGTATAGATTCAATACTAAATTTATTGAACTTGTTGAATAAAACAATAGTCAGAGGCTGGCATAATATGATATTATTCAACTTGTTCAATAAATTTTGTTTAAAGGTCATTCTGGTACAGATTTCAGAGAAACTGTATTGATATGTTCATGATAAGACACAGATGGAATAACTGATTTTGATAAAAGTGGCATCAATTGTAAATTCTAGTTCTTCTTTTATAAAATATTGAAATTTTGCATTGGTTGAAGGTGGGATGAAGGAACGGGGAATAGATTACTGTTTCTATTTCCTTATACAGTAATTGTTGATATTTATTATAGCAAGTAGAGAGGGAAATACAGAGAAAGTTAGAGGGGAAAGAGGAATCTGCTGTAGAATTAGAGGAAACATACGTGTCTCTACAACAAGAAGTGGAGGTGAAAACAAAAAAACTGAAGAAGGTAAGAGAATGCGTAACATGATTGTGTATCTACCTCACTTTCTAGAATGCGTAACACAAGATTGGGCACCTATTCCACTTTATAAATATGTTACACAAGAGTGTTCATCTACTTCACTTTTCTGAATATACCAAACAAGCCTGTACCTCAGTTACTGGAAAGTGTAACGCATAAGTGCTCACCTATCTCACTTACTAGAATGTGTTATACAAGAGTGGGCACCTTCCCCATTTAGTAGAATGTGCTAGTCTAGAGTTGGCACCTACCTCACTAAAATATGTTAAAATAGAGTGCACACCTAACTCACTTAGTAGAATCTGTTACAATTGAGTGGCCACCTACCTCACTTAGTAGAATATGTGAGTCTAGAGTGCACACCTACCTTACTTACTAAAATGTGTTACCATAGAGTGGGCACCTAAATCTACCTGAGCTTTGTGTTGCAAATTTGTAATATATGTAAGAAATGGTTATTTGACGAAAATCTTAAATTTTGCTAAAGCTTACTATAAAACATCTAATTCACTTTAACAAAGTTGTCAAGTAAATAGGTTTAGTGCCGATATTTGGTTACAATAAATGATTTGTTCTAAAGTTATTTTCAATTATGTATATCTTTTACAGCGATTTTTTCCCCTGAATTGTGAATGGGTCCGGTACCATAAAAATTGTGAAAAAAAAAAGTTGTTTCTTAATAATTTGTGAATTTTTTAATTAAGATTGTTAATATCTTATTAAGCCGTAAGAACATATAATTTTTTTAGTGTAATATTTACTGTTATGAGACATTTTGAATGATGTTTACAGAAATTACCAGACGCTTTATTGATTCGTCCCTAGATGTTTCGTATTTAAACAGTACGAAAATTTAAAGGGAGAATGCACCGAAAATCATGGTTGGCTAAACGCATTTTAAGATAAACAAAGCACAACAGGCAAAATTTTAGCATCATTATGAGAAGAGAGGAAATAAGACGTTATTAAAGGCTTAATTTATCAGAATTGTGAAATTTCGTTGGACCCAGTCTGAAAATTGTGAAGGTCTGTTTGTGATTGTGAATGGGTCCGTTATTCGGTACCACTTATATAGGGAAAAAAATCACTGTTTTATAATTTGGGTTGTTTGTATTCATAAGTCATCTGTTGATATAGAATTTTTTTGTACTGGGCTAGAATTTGTCTGTTTTGAAACATAGTGTAATTTTCTATGAATCAATGTTTTCAGTTGTTCCCAAAGTTACAAGCTACGAAGCAAGAAATCCAGGATCTTCAGGAAGAACATGTTAAAGAACGCCAGGAGCTAGAACAGGCCCAGAATGAACTTACACGAGAGTTAAAGCTCAAGTAAGCATAAATACGAGCCTTGGTTACTGAACCGGTCAGGTTGCTGATTTTTTAATAATTTTCAGATTACCTCCCTTGGCTTTGAACTCTGAATGAAATTTTTTTGTTACTTTCATGTGAATGCAAGTGATTCTGCTAAGGAGCCTGCTTATGCATGAAACTAAAGCAGTGAAAGTTTAAGAGTAGCTAATTAATTGACCTTTACAAAGATCTCGACCGGAAAAAGATTAATAAATACGAGGGGAAGTCAGAAAATATCCGGACTTTTCACTCGTTCTCGAAAACCATTCAACATTTTAAAAAAAATGTTTCTACTCTTTTTCAAAATATTCTCCACTTACGTCTACGCACTTTTGCCATCTTCGTGGGAGCTTTTGTATTCCCGCTGTGAACCATGACGTAGACCTATGTTTCAGGTACTGTGTAACAGCAGATAAGCTTTACTGGTGGAGGAAGACCTCAGATGCCCCTCGGTATATTGTTTCAGGCACAAACAGGCACCCAAGCATTTAATCATTCAAACGCCTTGTCCGGTATATTCCGGGATACTGTATTTAATGTGGTGCACCACTCAAAAAAAATTGTACAAAACCTCTTCAGGCGGCTATTGTTGTTCCTCTAGAGACCCTATGTTATCTGCTGCTGCAGGCTGTTCACTTTGAACTGGTTGTGGGTCTTGTGTCCGGGTCTGACCCCAGCCTCTAGCAAATACTGCTGGCTGCTTTGGCTTAATGATCGCCTGAAAAAAGGAAAATGCACTTGTATAATATTTATACGGAAAAGACCAAACACATGTATTGACTGAAATACCTCTACATTCATGCTATTTTTCATAAAAACTTATTATATTTTCCTCAATGTTTAATTTCCTTGACATGCATCTTTAACACATTTAATAAATTAACTATAGTGTCCCATTTATCCCGGGTTAAGAGTCGGTTTTAAGACTTTAAAAAAGTAGAAAATTTAATTACAGGTAGCCGAGCAATAGAATTTTTATGCCACCGCAGCATCTGCGATGCGGTGGCATATAGCGATTCACCTGTGTGTGTGTTTGTTTGTTTGTGTGTTATATAGATTATATAGTGAACTTAAAAATCTTCTTGTGAAAAACCACTTGTCCAATATCAACCAAACTTGGCAGGATTAATCCTTGGGTGAAGGGCTTCCAAAGTTGTTCAAAGAATTTTATTCCATGCAGAAATCTGGTTGCCATGGCAACGAAAAGGAATTATAAGAATAAATTTAAAAAATCTTCTTGTAAAGACCCAAAAGGCCTAGAGCTTAGATATTTTGCATAAGGCATTGTCTGGTAGACCTCTACCAAGATTGTTCAAATTATAGCCCTGGGGTCAAAATAGGCCCCGCCCCGGGGGTCATTGATTTTCACTATATGTACATATAGTAAAAACTTAAAATACTTTCTTGTAAAGACCAAAAAGGCCTAGAGCTTAGATATTTTGCATAATGCATTGTCTGGTAGACCCTTAACAAGATTGTGCAAATTATAGCCCTTGGGTCTAAATTGGCCCCGCCCCGGGGGTCATTGATTTTCACTATATGTACATATAGTAAAAACTTAAAATACCTTCTTGTAAAGACCCAAAAGGCCTTGAGCTTAGATATTTTGCATAAGGCATTGTCTTTTAGACTTCTACCCAGATTGTTCAAATTATAGCCCTGGGGCCAAAATCGGCCCCGCCCCGGGGTCATTGGTTTTCCTTATATGTATATAGTAAAAACTTTCTTCTAGCAATTGACAAATGCTAGAGTTTAGATAATTTGCATGAAACATTGTGTAGTGAACCTCTAGCAAGATTGTTCAAATTGTAGCCCTGGGGTCAAAATTGCCCCCGCCCCAGGGGTCATTGATTTTCAATATATACATATAGTAAAAAATAAAAAATCTTATTGTCTGAAGGTACAAGGCTTAGAGCTTTAATATTTGTTAGATGATATCATATATAGGTACTCTACCAAAGTCGTTCAAATTTTGCCTCTAGTGTCAAAATTAGCCCCGCCCCGGGGGCCATAGGTTTTCCTTATATGTATAAAGAAAAAACTTAAAAAATCATCTTCTCTAAATTTTCAAAGGCTAGAGTTAAGATATTTTGCATGAAACATTGTGTTGTGAACCTCTAGTAAGATTGTACAAATTATAGCCCTGGGGTCAAAATTGGCCCACCCCTAGGGGTCATTGATTTTCACTATGAACATATAGTAAAAAATTAAAAAATGTTCTTGTCTGAAGGTCAAGGCTTAGAGCTTTGATATTTGGTATATAATATCATCTATGATGTCCTCTACTAAAGTTGTCTAGTGTTAAAATTGCCCTGCCCCAGAGGCGATAGTTTTCCTTATATGTATAAAGTAAAAACTTGAAAAATCTTCTTCTTTAAATTGACAAAGGCTACAGGTTAAATATATAGCATGAGACTTTGCGAAGTGAACCTCTACCAAGATTGTTCAAATTATAGTCCTGTGGTCAAAATTGGTTCCGCCCTGGGGGTCATTGATTTTCATTATGTACATATAGTAAAGAAATAAAAATATCTTTGTCTGAAGGTACAAGGCATAGAGCTTTGATGTTTGCTATATAATATCATCTATAGGTCCTCTACCAAAGTTGTTCAAATTTTTCCCCTGGTGTCAAAATTGGCCCTGCCCGGGGGCAGTGATTCTCATTATGTACACATAGTAAAAACAGAAAATAAAACAAATGTTTTCTGAATGGGAGAAAGCTACAGCTTAGATATTTGACTTGAAATGTTTTTTGGTGGACCTGTATCAAGATTGTTTTGAATTAAACCCTTTGGTTAAAAGTTTGCCTTGCCCAAGGGGACAGTGACCTACTTTCTTGTCCAATGAAATTTTGACCATGTGCACAGTTTTAGTTGGAAAATTGAACTTTGATATCAGCTGACCTAGATTTTGATGATGTGACCTACTTTCTTGTGCTTTGATCTACAGCTATGAAATTTGAACCATGTGCACAGATTAAGATGTAAAGTGAACTTTGATATCAGCTGACCTGGATTTTGACAAAGTGTCTTACTGTGTTATCCTTTGATGTAGTCATGAAATTTAGGCTGTGTGAAATATGACCTTCACCACCAAATTCACTAGACTCAAGTGCATTGATATATTCCTACTCTGATCTTTTATTGGATTAACAATAGATTTAACCACTAATCTGATAATAAGAATTAGATAGGTCAGGGATCTATGCATTATGACAATCTTCAATTGTATAAAAACAAAAAAAATCTGTTCCTACACTACTATTTAGTGTTGTGTTAATGCGGTGGCATAGCATTTTCTCAAATGCAATCTTGTTTTAAATAACATCTCTGCTTAACTGTGCCAAGATATGACATTTTGTTTTTATTATTGTTGTAGTCGACGATGATCACTACCGTAGTAACCGTCAGTGCCGTACCGTACTGTGCGACACGTTGTTCACGATAATATAGAAAACGTGTACCAAAGAGTTTCACTATACTTATAGCGTAAAATCAATTCAAAATATTTTACCGTAATAATCACTGATCTCAAGATGTAACAAATGTAACAGCTTTTAAACTTCAGCTTTTTATCATTGCAGAGTCCCCGGACTTAAACCCTATTGAGATGGTTTGGGCCAAAATGAAACAATATGTCTATAAACAGAACTGTACAACATTGAACCAACTTCAAGAGGTTTTATTGCAGTATTGGGGAACTCATCTTACAGTTGAACTTTGCAATAGATACATAGATCATGTATTCAAGGTAGCTCCCGTTTGTGTGTTAATGAAAGGTGCGGCAACTGAGGATGTGCCAAAGAAGATTTTTCCTGAACCTTCCACGAACAAGTCGTTAGCCTATTTCAATGACAAGCTTAAATTGCCGGAAATGCAGGAAAAGTGCAAAAGACATGGGTTTTGAAACCAAATTACCTTATTCTGATTTGAAATTGGCATGATTTGCTTCTGTCTATGAGAGACTTTCATGTCTTTCTCGGAACCACTCTCAGTTACAACCGCCTCGTCCACCGGACGCTGACTCCCCCACTGCACATTGTATGTGGCACCAACAGTTATCTAGAACATGTAAAAAGATTTGTTTAATGTTATATCTTAGTTATAAAGACATTGTAGTTTCATATATATATATTTATAGATATACATATTGTCAATCTTAGAATCACCTGTTTAATGTTAGACAATAACTGGTAGATTTTTGGTTGCGTAAACATGCAGTCTCAGTCAAGTACTTCACTTAATAAACATTTTAGGTATGCATGTATAATTGGCCTTATATACAGTCAATTTTGGTACGATCATTGTAAAATTTCATGCACAGATGAAATGATCTTGCGACATTAACGCACTTTCACATTTATTGTACATTATTACATTTATTAACACGACCCGCAATTTTCCCTGTTGGGATTCTATATATTTACCGGACAATCAGTTTATCGAACAGAAGCTATTCCTGTCAAAAGTTGTAGTTTCCTTGCTGATTATTTAAAGATAAATTTCAATTCACGACTTAAAAAATTTTGGAACACAATGTCTGGTAAATTAAGTTGTCTACATGTTTTTTTTCTCTTCTAATTCCCTACTTTAAAGACACATTTCTACGGTCAAAGGTTTGATAAAGTAATGGTTACGTGTATTAAGAACCCAAAAATTATTTTAAATAAAAGTTACAGATAAAAACATCGTATTTTGTCCGGTTATATGTAGGACCCCACAGTATTGAACACAGAAGAACTGAAAGAGCGTATTATTATGCATTGAAACTAAGTACGGAAACATTTAGCTTAATTGTCAGAAACAGCAGCATTTATGTGTTGATGTTGTGTTAAAATCCAAATCTGTTTGTCATTCGGATGCGCAATATTATATCACTCGGGGGCTACGCCCTCGTGATATAATTCCTCGCATCCGAACTCCAAACAGTGATTTTGTTGAGCAATAAAATCAGTTGGGGATGTAGTAAATGAGGCAATATTTTTTTTAGAAACGGAACTTGTCCTGTCCCTATTTTTTAAATTCTAAAAGGGGTTTCACGAACCCAAATGCCGTGAGTCATTTATCACATCTAATAGAAAAAAACAAACAATTTTTGATTTCACGACTTTGCTGAAATATTAAGTTAGAAGCAAAGATATCACTTGCATTGACAAATAGTTCACGTAATTCAAGAAAAGTTTTTCTTTAGAAAAAAAAAAGATTAAAAACTTTTTCTATTAATCATTACGTCTTCATGGTCAAGATGAGAACAGGTTGACATAAAGTTAAACTTTCAGATAAGTGGAGGCTCTGATAAGCTTCGTATTTATAGGATAAAATAAATAAAAGAATCTAAAACAAAATCATCGAATATATAAGAATCTAAAACAAAATCATCGAATATATAAGAATCTAAAACAAAAACATCGAATAAACAATTCCGAGCAAAGATATATATGTTAAAACAGAAGTCACCTGTACACTGAATAAGGTGCTATTTCGGGAGTACCGGAGAACAGGTTTAATTTCATCTAATGATTTTGAAAAAAGTTGTTCTAAAGTTTTATATTTGTATCATTTTGGACAATTACTTTATAAAGCTTATAATGAGTATGTGTAACAACAACAACAACAACAACACATACTTTAATTTTTGAATCATGTTACATAATGTAGAACAGTATGACTAAATACAATAGTATACAAATGTGGGTTCTTATTTTTTTTGGTTAAATTGTTTAACAACATGGGGACAGCTATTCTCTCACCACTAGAATACATAACTTATTGTTGCATATATCAACACTTACACTTCCTATCTTCATAAGGGAGAAATGAATTACGCCACCTTCCCGTTTCAACGGGAAGCCCAGAATTAAATATTTTATTAAAATAATCGCAATATATAGGAATCATAAGGTCTGTTGTACTTTTAATATATTCATTATATATATAATCTTGCGGCGAGACAGCTTTAGAAGTGTTACTTTTATCAATCATTTTCTTAATTTCAAATGAAGAAATTCTGCGATTTAATATCTCATTATTTTGCAAATTAATATTTGACATGTCAAAAAAGTCCTGTTCAAAATTACTCTCTGAATTTACCGTTTTAAAATGATCATCGTAACACTTCTATCGTATAATACCATTCACATTTTGTACCATTATATTCATATTGTATCGTATAATACCATACACATTTTGTACCATTATATTCATATTGTATCGTATAATCACATACACATTTTGTACCATTATATTCATATTGTATCGCATAATACCATACACATTTTGTACCATTATATTCATATTGTATCGCATAAACCATACACATTTTGTTACCATTATATTCATATTGTATCGTATAATACCATACACATTTTTGTACCATTATATTCATATTGTATCGTATAATACCATACACATTTTGTACCATTATATTCATATTGTATCGTATAATACCATACACATTTTGTACCATTATATTCATATTGTATCGTATAATACCATACACATTTTGTACCATTATATTCATATTGTATCGCATAATACCATACACATTTTGTACCATTATATTCATATTGTATCTCAAATACCATACACATTTTGTGCCATTATATTCATATTGTATCGTATAATACCATACACATTTTGTACCATTATATTCATATTGTATCGTATAATACCATACACATTTTGTACCATTATATTCATATTGTATCGCATAATACCATACACATTTTGTACCATTATATTCATATTGTATCGTATAATACCATACACATTTGTACCATTATATTCATATTGTATCCCATAATACCATACACATTTTGTACCATTATATTCATATTGTATCCCATAATACCACACACATTTGTACCATTATATTCATATTGTATCGCATAATACCATACACATTTTGTACCATTATATTCATATTGTATCGCATAATACCATACACATTTTTTACCATTATATTCATATTGTATCGTATAATACCTTACACATTTTGTACCATTATATTCATATTGTATCGCATAATACCATACACATTTTGTACCATTATATTCATATTGTATCGCATAATACCATACACATTTTGTACCATTATATTCATATTGTATTGCATAATACCATACACATTTTGTACCATTATATTCATATTGTATAAAAAGATCTTGTTTTTTACACAGCCATACAGAACATGTTTTAGATCATTAAAGAATAATTATAAATTATGTTGGTGTTGTTGTTTGAATATGACAGACTGTATATTTTTATAGTTTACGGACATTAATCTCACTGTACAAAATATATATATTACGAGAAAATCTCGTATAATTTTACGAAAATCAACAAAATCAACATAACCATTGACAATTAATGTTGTTTTCACATGCTTTTAAAAGTCCAATGAAATCGCTTACCTGCTTAGCATTCAATTTCCATAGAACCTTCTTTTATTTTAAAATAAGTACAAAGAAGTAAAATACATATTCAACTTACCCGATCATCATCACTTCGAATAAATCCTCACTTGAAAGTTCTCACTTGAAATTTTCTATCACATATTGTACCAGAAAATGCAACTCTTGTCGCGTTGACTGTCTTAATGAAGACATTTTACAGTGAAGAAAGTAATAATTAAGACAATTTATGACTACAGCTATTGCTAGATTTTTTTCTGAGAATGAGATGTGTGTGTTTGGTTTGTTTACCCTCGCCACCGGAATGAACCATATGGGCGAGCATATACTTCATTTAAAATATACTGTATTTATATGGGAACTAATGTTAATCTATAGTTTTATCGGTACATATGGAACATCTTAGCTCTAGCTCATTGGGCTTTTTAAAAGAAGATTTTTTTAAGTTTTTACTATACACATATAGTTAAAAACAATGACACCCCTGGGGCGGGGCCAGTTTTGACCACAGGGCTTTTATTTGAACAAACTTTGTAGACACTTACTAGAAGATGTTTCATGCTTAATATCTAAACTCTAGCTATTTGGGTTTTTTCAAAGAAGATTTTAAGTTTTTGCTATACACATATAAGGAAAATCAATGACCCCCGGGGCGGGGCCAATTTTGACCCCAGGCTTTTATTTGAACAAACTTTGTAGACACTCACTAGAAGATGTTTCATGCTTAATATCTAAACTCTAGCTATTTGGGTTTTTTCAAAGAAGATTTTTTAAGTTTTTGCTATACACATATAAGGAAAATCTGAATGACCCCCGGGGCAGGGCCAATTTAGACCCCAGGGCTTTTATTTGAACAAACTTGGTAGACACTCATTAGAACATGTTTGATGCTAAATATCTTAGCTCTAGCTCTATGAGTTCTTGAAAAGAAGATTTTTTAAGTTTTTACTATATGCATATAGGGAAAATCAATGACCCCCTGGGGGCGGGGCCAATTTTGACCCCAGGGCTTTTATTTGAACAAACTTGGTAGACACTCACTAGAAGATGTTTCATGCCAAATATCTAAGCTCTAGCTCTTAGGGTTTTTTAAAAGAAAATATTTAAAGTTTTTTCTTTCAGTTGCCATGGCAACCAAAGTTCTGCATGGAATTAAATTCTTTGAACAATTTTTAAAGGTGACCACCAAAGGAACATTCCTGTGAAGTTTGGATGAAATTGGCTCAGTGGTTTATGAGGAGAAGTAAAAGTAAAAGTCTACGGATGGCGGCCGGACGCCGAACGAAAAGCGATCACAAAAGCTCACCCTGTCACTTTGTGACAGGTGAGCGAAAAAACGAAAGAAAGTCTTTTTAAAGCAGTGTCAGGAACGTAATTCCCCAATTCAATGTGTTCGATTCTTATAGGTACTAATTTAATCAGATACATGCACAATGGAGTGCCAAATTTATTAAAACAAGTTTGTTTTAGCATGGAATGATAGAATTTGTCTGTTTATTGGTATATTTCACCCGAACACCTGCTTAGTTAATTGTGTGTGTTTGGGTTTGTTTACCCTCGCCACCGGAAAGAGACCATATGGGCGAGCATATACTTCAATTATAACGTTTTAAAAAGGGGGATCTGATGTTTATTTACTTGTTGTTATATCCGTACATGTGTTTATGTGCATACCATATCCCCCATGACAGGGTAGTCTCTACGTACAACCTCTGCCATGGGAGGAAGATGGGGCAATCCCATACTAAGTTTAAGAAATCTAAAATTTAATTAATAAAAAGCACTTATTTTAAAATTGGCCAAGACGTTTATAGTAGTTACCGTCTTTTATAACAGGTCTATTTAATATTTAATATAACTAAAAAATTTTAAAATATTACCTATAATGCGAAGAAGGCATGTCAGGAACATTTTCTGACCAATTCATTGTGGGCTGACTGTTATTTATGTTGGTTTCTATTTAAATGCTATAAACCGTATACATTGGGATGCATATGATTAATTACATGTTTGTAATTAGCAAAGTTTATTTTAAATTTTGTAAGTTCTACCGAACACCCGCTTTATAAAGTTAATTTTGATTGGTTTAGAGAAGATTGCCTCCTTTGTCCTCATTGGTCTAAAATTTCTTCTTTCTAAATTATGAAGGAGGTCAATCCGATTTGCTTGAAATTTCTGCAAGTTTTTCTGTTGACCATTATCGACAAGTTTTGTCAGCGCGGACTGGATAGAAATTTGAGGGTGCCCGTTGCATTCCAATGTATACGAGTTTTTACCAACTTTATTTCTAAATTAAAACAAATATAATAATTAAAATGTGGTGGAAACGGCCTTATCAATTTTATCACTGTCTCATGGTCTTTAAATATTATGCATCTAGATATCACACATAATAATAATCTTCTATTACTTAAACAATTCGTAGAAGAATAAGAAAAAATCTGAGCCCGAATATGGCTAATAATAATAACTTGGTTACCCATAATGTGATGAGATAGTCTTTTTGTAACATATTTAAGAAAATCTCATGCTTGAGTGAACCCGTGATAAACGTATTGCCCTCATATGGGGGCACGGATTCACGTTTTACTAGTATTAAGGGGGATACTAGTTTATATATACAGGAATAAAAAAGATAGATAATAAATAAACAGGCGGGGGGGCAAAGGGATAATACAATATGGAGTCTTTTTTGACAATTATGGGTAATCTGTAGCAGCACCTTTTCCCAATTTTATGCAAAATAACCATGAGACTGTATGGTAAAATAGTCTAGTGCACAGCCTATTTTAAGAAATTTTCAATTAAAATAACTATGGCAATTAAAATTACAAAATAAATAAAATAAATAAAATAAACTTCTCAATTAGCCCGTTTCACGGCCACTTATTAGGGCCACTTTTAAAATAAACATTTAAAAATTAAGGTTTTACACTTTATACATTGGTGGGGATGCCCAAAAAAATTTAAAAAATAAAAAATATTGTCAAACCCTTTACGTACAGTTTTCTATACTGTAGTATATAGTTTGGAAACCCCCCTCGCGTAAGGTTAAATAGTTAGGGTTTAAACCAAATTTATAAAAAGGGGGCCAGGGAGGGCCCCTAGATGCTGCCCCTGTTAATAAACTACCCAAAAAATTCCTAGAAAAGGCATTCTGAAATTTCTAATGACAGGTGATTTCAAAACTGGGGACCATTAAGTATTAAAAAAAGGATTACCCATTTTTGACATGCATTTAGTTTTTCCCCAGGTGCACATATTCAAACTTGACCTAGAATCATCAAAACAAACTTTCGCCCCAATTTCCGGGATACTTGGATCAAACAGTGGGCAACTTAGATTGTCTCCCTTCCCCCTTTCCGGGGAGGCCATTTTTGTAAACAAAGTCAAAATTTTTAAAAAAAATAAAATTTTTATGAAAAAAAAGACTTATATATACAAGACACGCCCAATTTTATTTTGGGACACTTCATTTTTTATTGATCCCCCACCATCTACGGTTCCCAAAAACACTTTTTTTAAAATTTAAATCGACTTTGATCGTACCCAACCCAGCCCCCTCCCCCTAGGGCCACTTTCCATAGGGTTCCACACCAGCCCATCGTTTTCTAGCTATTTTTTTCACGTCTATAAATTATTTATTAGAAACATTCCTACTGTTTGTAACATATATATTTTAAATTCCGTTTTTAAAACTTTTTTATTTTTTGATCATTGTTTAAATGGGTAAACCTTTTTATTATTCTAGAAATTTTGATATTTGGTTTTTTTGGGTTTAAACATCAAATTATAAAAAGGTCATTTTGACTTTTGGGTGTGTTTTTTAAAAATTTTACCGGGACTAGGGGAGAAATTTTTTTTTTTTTTTTGTGTTGTTATATGTAATA